AAAAACATTATAAATTGTTGCTAAGTTAGAGCTTCAAAAATTCTGGTGATAAATTTTGTCTAGAGAAAAGGAAAACACAAGTCTCCTGTAGATAACCAATGAAACATTTCAACAAGATTTATACAGTTTTGGTAGGTGAAAAGCTTTTGTTAGGTAAAAGTCTTGTTTTGAAAAGCTAAAATAAAATGAACCAGTTTAAATATTGTAGAGTTTTGGACTAACAAAGTAATGAGATTTTCAAGAACACTAATTTATTTTAAAATTTATTATTTATTTCTTCCTTTATTATTTCTTCATTCTTAACTTTTTTACTTTCCTTGTTCAACATGCAGAAGATTTACTAGGGTGTGAAAGGGAGAAATTGGCAAGATTGTTTACAAAAGGGGTAGGAGAAATTAGTTGAGAAATATATTACCATGCAGAAGATAATATTCAATAGTTGCAATAAATATCAATACTTTGTTATCAATTCCACTCTCAGCTCGCTGCTCTGTCTATGCTAGAAATTAGGCAGACTTACATGGAAGACTGATATTTCACACCACAGGAAAACACCACATCTAAGGAGAGGCTCCAGAGCCCACCTAGCTCCCTGGATAATGTCCCATTTATGTCAGTAGGTTTTGGATCAGAGCATGAGGTGGGTGAAGCAGTGCTGGTTCCAGGCAGCAGACTGCTTGAGTGGTACCTGCTGGCAGGTATGGGACAGGAGTGGTGAATTTGCCTTCTTGCAGACCCTGAGCACCCAGACACTCACATGCCCTATCTGATTTCCTGGTGCTGCACACATAATCCCTGGAAAGAGTGAACTGCCACAAACTATTGCTGGGGTCAATGTCCCCCTGTAATATCAGTGACTGTCTGATGATGGCTCAGGGATGCTCAGTGTTGCTTTGCCATTGTGCTCCCAACAGGGCAGGAGCCTGCTAGAATTCTGAAACAAAACCAAGTTATTGCTACCCCACGGCTGCAAATATGTCTGAAGATATTTGCATTATAGGGTCTATGATTGTTAGTACCAACTAACAGTTCAGTGATAAAAAGAGAATGATTATATACTGGAGAAGAAATGGTCATACAGATGCTGTCTGTTCAAGAGAAACAAGGGTAACACAAGGTTTTAGATACAGAGCTGCAGGACGTCTTGAGACTGAGGTATCTGGAATAATTTTGGAGTCTAAAGGCTCAGCAGTTTGATGCTGTACTAAATACCCAGCTGCAACACAAAGAGACAATACAGAAGAATAGTCGGGTTAGTTGCAAGTAGAAAGACATTTTTATTGATCTCAGAATAGCCTTAACTGACAGAAATAAATTCTGAGACTGTAAAAGACCAAACTTGCCCCTAAACCATCACCCACTAAAAACAATGGATTAGACCTTGCTTCCCATAAGGGAAACAAAAACCAAATACTTGTGTTTAGCATTTTGTTAGAACAAACGATATTTTAATCAACTGAAGAAATTATTTCACACCAGAGGATATACACAGTGCCATGGCGGTGTTCAACTGGTCTAGATAGATTGCCTACTTTGAAGCCTTGTCACTGGGAGATATGGTACAGTTATGCAGACTATATATCAACAAGAGCAAAATTTCTGGACAGCAACATCAATGAAAAATTGGCTTTTGTTGATTCTGGGTTATGCATTTAGGAGAGGATGACACAGAAATTCTAGTCTTGTTCATGAGGAGATAAAAGGTATCAGGAGAGACTTGAGAGCTTCTCACAATATAGTTCTACAGCATCTTGCATAAAGCTATTGGTTGATCCAATTTGATAGATGCAATGGCAATACTTTTCTTGATAATGGGCTGAAAATTCATTGCATGTTTGTCTACTTTGATAAGTGCATGTGTGAACTGCAAAAGTGGGAGCCTAAGGGAGCTGGAAAGAAGTATTCGGTGCAGTTAACAAAGCACTGACAACTGCACAGCTGCAAGTGCAACGAGACCCCCTTTACCTGTGGTCCTGCCTCGTGACACCTCTCCTGATGGAGGAGGAGTTGTGGGCTCAGATAGACTGGCAGAGGGCAGTGAGAAGCCAACCTCATATGTATCATGCACTTCTATAAAAACTGAAAGAAATGGTGTACAGTTTGAGAAAGAGGCCTTAGGCAAAATATTTGGAAAACGAAATTAGACTGACACTGACATTGAAGTTTTAGCTGACGAGCAAATCCTTTCAGTAAACCATTTACTCTCCAGTGGTGCACCTGTTGGTTAGGTTTTGTCTGAAATTGAATTGTAAGCATAGGCACCAGGAGGTCTCTAAACATTACTGTCATGTAATACAGACAGATCTCTAGTTAAACTGTCCAATGTACTGCAGCAGGAGGCTGTGATGCCACAGCGGATAAGACAAATTCATGGAAGAGCCACTGAGAGCTGCAAAACACCAATGATACAACCTTTACTCAGGACATCTCAAAGCCACAGACTGCTGGAAGGTTATGGCAGAGGCCACATTACTGGACTTCTTCCTTATTTGCTATCCTTTCCTTCAGATCTTGTGCTAGCAGCCCTCAGTGAGAGGAACCAACCCAGGCACAGCTACAGGTTGGGCAGAGAAGAGATTCAGAGCAGCCCTGCGGAGAAAGACTCGGGATTGCTGGTCGATGAGAAAATGAACATGAGCCAGGTTCAGCATGCTTGCAGCCCAGAAAGCCAACCGTATCCTGGGCTGCATCAAAAGGAGCGTGACCAGCAGCTCGAAGGAGGTGATCCTGCCCCTCTACTCTGCTCTTGTGAGACCTCACCTGGAGTATTGTGTGCAGTTCTGGTGTCCTCAGCATAAAAAGGACATGGAACTGTTGGAACAAGTCCAGAGAAGGGCCACGAGGATGATCAGGGGACTGGAGCACCTCCCATATAAAGACAGGCTGAGGAAGTTGGGGCTGTTCAGCCTGGAGAAGAGAAGGCTGCGTGGAGACCTCATAGCAGCCTTCCAGTATCTGAAGGGGGCCTATAGGGGTGCTGGGGAGGGACTCTTCATTAGGGACTGTAGTGACAGGACAAGGGGTAACGGATTAAAACTTAAACAGGGGAAGTTTAGATTGGATATAAGGAAGAAGTTCTTTACTGTGAGGCTGGTGAGGCACTGGAATGGGTTGCCCAGGGAGGTTGTGAGTGCTCCATCCTTGGCAGTGTTCAAGACCAGGTTGGACAGAGCCTTGGGTGACATGGTTTAGTGTGAGGTGTCCCTGCCCTTGGCAGGGGGGTTGGAACTAGGTGATGTTAAGGTCCTTTCCAACCCTAACTATTCTATGATTCTAGGATTCTATGTGGGGCTACATTGACGCAGGATCTGAGCAGGTACTGCTGGCTTAGATCTTGGTTTCTTAGCTTCAATGAGAAGGTGTTCTAGCAAATACCAAAATACAGCAACGGTCTTTCATATGCAGAGCCTTTCATATGCACAGCCTTTCATGTGGCACCCCTCAAACACTTCTGCCAGGACCCTGATCACCAACTAACCCAAGTAAATTAACAGTCTAGGCATGGGTCCAATCCAGTACACACTGCATGCATCCTTCTCTAAAACGCAGTCATGCTTAAAAAGGATGAGGATGAGGAAGATGTAATAGGAAGAATTTTGTATTCAGGACTCCTGATCCTTCAACATACTTAAGTGCATGGGAAGTAGACTGAGTATACAGATCCTGAGGGCTCTTCAAAGTTAAATGTTAACCAGGAAAGTAATAGCATTACACTGAAAATGCAAGTTTTTCTTCCTAATTAAAATGTCACTTGTGCAGTATTTGATTTGATTTTTCACTTCCACAAATATACTTGTTTCTGACTATTAATGTTGCATCCTGATGCCAGTATTTGCAAATAAGTAATGGGCACATTATTTGTGAATAAGTAATGGACACATATTATATTATTGTGTAGCTGAAATTACAGATTGTATGAAATCAATTTAGAATCTCTGAAACAAACATTTCTTTGTGTCACCTTTGTGGAAGGCTGTTGTATTAATCTCACTATAATTTCCTCTTCCCTCCTCTATTTGATTCAAAATCTGAACATATTATTCAGAATACACATACACTGCAGAGCATGTTGATATCAAAGAGAGTTAATAGGTCATATCACTATGAGTACAGCATGTTTTCCACCTGGCAAAGCCCAGGAAAAGCAAGATATTAGAAAAGCTGGAAGGAAAAGGATAAAAAAAATAGTGTTTGACATAAAAAATAGGTTGTACTGTATCCCAGGTTACACTGTCTGTAACGAAAGAAAAAAAATGAGCTGCACTGCTATTTCACTGTAATATCTGCTGCTGAGAAATTGATCATAAGTGGCAATCTAGTTTGGAGCAAAGAATTAAAGCAAGTTTTTCATAAAATATGATGGCAGAAGCCTATTTTTTATAAAAGTATAAAACTATCTCTACAGACACAGGCATCTAAATGTCTAGTTTTACCATGCTCAACTGAAAGAAAGAGGGCTGTGTTACAGATGTTGGAGAACAGCACTGCGTGGGACTCAGCAGCTGAATGCACTGGGTGGGTTTGGTATGTGCCACTGGTCCAGCATCTGCGACGTGCTACAGTGCTCCCCTGCCACACACTTAACCCATGCTCCTGCAAACTGGTCCTCACCACTGTCAGCAGGACAGAAGGATCTGTACAATTCACCATGGCAGAGGGAGAGCGTATGGACGGGTTCAGGTGAAGGATAGGAAGGCAATTGCTGCTGAACTGCTGGCAAAAGGTGGGAAGTGGCTCCTCCACCATCAGAACATCTCAGAAAGCTGCAGGCTGGAAAGTTAACAAACACTCCACAGATGAAAACATCAGCTGACCCTCAGCAGTCTCTGACTGTGAGAAACTACTTTAAATACCCTTGCAAATATGCACAGGTCACAAACTGAATTAGAAATATAGCAGGAAACATATGCTATTTAATGCTTTTGACTACAGTTTGGCCCAAAAATCTCAGCTGGAAACATGTGCAGGTGAGTAAACACAAACAGAATCCAGCCATGAGCTGCAAAAAGCTGAGAAAGTTTATTCTTCAGTTTCTGTGAAGAAAGAAAATACAACTTCAGGCCATTATACAAAGCAAGGTTAAAAAAAAAATAGAGTATCAGAAATGAGAAAGAGACAGAAAGGGAAGCAGGTACTTCTATCTGTTGCGAAGGGACCCTTTTCTATTGAAGCAGCTTCTATTTTTTTCACCTGCAGGGAAAAGAAATAAGACACTGAAAGCACAGCTCATAACAGGAAAAAGTAATAATCAATATCACATCCTCACATTAGTAGGAACACTTGCTCTTACCACTTCTAAACATGCAGCTTGCCTGCTGAAAGCTCTTTGCTGACCTGCACTGCTTTTCTTGCAGGGTAGGAGGCAAGGGAATTTTCAGTGCCAGAGTGCCTCACCTAGAGATTCAGCTTCTTCACCTGCTCCTAGAGGCATCCACCTGGATCCTAGACAAAATAAGAGACAGATGAAAGTACCAACACATGTTGAGAAACCACATGGCCCACTGTGGAACCATGCCCCCTGGCAGGGGTAAATTTCCCTGGATTGGGCCCCTAATGAGGTAAACCCCAAAGATTTCTTACCTTCTTAAATGCTGCAGTCCATGCTCAGATGTGCTCAGCATAGTAGAAACCGAGGAGGAATGGTTGTCTGCCCAGCTCCAGATTTGTCCAGATTGTCTGCCCAGCCATATCTATGGTTTGATGTGTGGGGCAGAACAGTTAAACAGTCTCAGCATTTGGAGATTCATGGAAAGTGGTGATGAAGATATTTTTATTCAACCATGTAATTTAAGAAGACTACAGGATTTTCCAGGTCCAAAACCTAGCACCGCTGTGGGCTGTCTCGTCAGGTGCTGAACTTCTTGTATATCCCAGTGACTGAGGTAAGTTTTTGTGCTGAATGAGAACAAGGTTTTTTTTCTTTCTTCTGGGATGGTTTCAGTGGTTAGTCACTATGTATAGTAGTCACTGGCCTCTGCTGTTGAAGGCTAGGAATCATCAAAGCCTTTATACAGAAGTCTTTGGAAATTCAGGAAGTCTAGGGGAATGCAGCAGGCACAAACCAGGGTCATCTCAAAAGTGGCTGAAGTTATGGGGTCCAATTAATCTATGCCACGAACGGACACATATCTTCAAGGTAGGTAGCTCTTCTTGTGCAAGCGATGCACCCAAGAAATGTTATGAAAATCTACAGGCAGGAGGTACATCCAGTTGAAGAAGCAGGTAACAGCTCTAAGGTTGCTATTACTATTAACCAGCAGCAGCTTTTGGAAGAGATGTGGAGCACACGGGAATGCTGGTTGTTCTACATCCTTGCTTCCTTGCAGTACTATTTTGTACTGCACTGCCATCTGAGAGCGCTTGTAGATATTGACAGATCCATTTCTGTGGTGTGATTACAATAAATTAAGGGTGTTTCACATGTGACATGTGAGATGTCTCCTCAAATATCCATGTTTGCCTGGTACATTTTCGCAGCTTTGTTTAGTTAGCAATGCTTGAATTTTCATTTGTGTTCACAGTGGGTGTCACGGGAAGCCCTAATGCAGACATTTACCATGGACCTTTCTCCAGCCACCTTCCATTCCAGGTGCCTCACCAAAATCTGAGCACATCAGCTTTGACACATTTAATATCCTTTGAGCAAATTCAGGGCAAAACAGACAATACCCCTACAAGCCAAATACGTCATATCCTACCCTGTCATCTGAAAAGAGCACACACTGGTTAGAACACATGCCCTAATGAATCAGCTTGTGCTTAAGGTGCCAGGATTATACCTAACAGCTCTGAAGTATTGTGTCACCTGCACATTCATATGAGACTTTATACTGAATATTGAACTAGTGTGCTGCTACTATAAAGGCCCTTTATACATTTTACCTGCTCTAGAATGGGCACTCCAGGCAATAGCCATAAAGGAGAATTTTCACATCATTACTCAGGTATCAGTATTTCTATCACACATCATTTATCTGCATGGAGTAACCTTACCTCAATTTCTATTCCCCAACCTTTCTGTTACTGAGGAGTTTCCATCCTTCAGAATTTCATGAATCCTAAAAGGTGTTCAATACCTTTGGTGGTTTTCAGTGAAATACGTGTGAACCCTTACAGAAAAAGTTAGAGATGTTTTCAAGGTAGGCAATGCTTTACCATTACTATCACGGATGATAGTATTGATCTCTTAGCCATCAAGTAAAACCCTCCATCTTACATTCTTGGGAAACATATCTACTACTGACAAGCTGAACATGCAGTTCTGTGGGCTATATTGAATCCTAAATAAGAAATATTTTTTGCTGGTAGGTTTTCCAGAGCTCCCTATTGTAGAAGACCTTTTATTCTTCCTGGGAAGGGACAACCTAAATATGCCTGTACATTCAACCCGGAATGGCTGTAGTAAGTACTGCATTTGTACATTAGTGTAAAATGAGAGGAATCAGTATCCTGAGCATTTTTATCCAAGCTGAGTTTTCATGTAAGATGCAAGTACAGGCACTTATCTTGCATCAGGTGTTATAGTTCACTGGCAAAGTACATGAAAAATTCAAGGTGTTTAGTGTTGCCTGTCTGGTTTTTTACTTTACATCAATTCTCAGCCAGTTGTGCCTCACAGGCCACAGCCATCAGAAAAGTTATTTTTCTAAGATGAGTTTTTAAAAATGAGAATATTAAAGCTCAGTTTTACTGGGTGTTCTTGATGATACTGCTCCATTTAAAATCATAACATTAGTCCAGGCTTAACTGAGCACTTTACTTTTCCTGTACTCCTTCACATTAATGGTAGGTGTTTGAAATACCATTCTTGATTAAATTTATTTCAGCTATGCTTCTGAAAAAGGAGTCTTTCTTTTTTTTTTTTTTTTTTTCAATTTATAGTCAGAACCTAATTTTAGAAGCCCTGAAATAGGATCCTTCAGTAGTCAATGGACCTGAATAGGTCAGCTCATTTCAGTTCAAGATACATGTCTAAGGCAGAAGGAATAAATAGCCCTCTGGACACATACATCTCTTTCAACTATGTGTAGCTGGCTTAGTTTTTAGATAGATAAAATAAGTCAAGATAAAACTTCTCATATCCTTTGATCAAGACATATCATGCACAACACTCACACAGGGTTTTTCTAGGTTGCCTGCTTGAGCACTTTGTAGGTCATATCTTTTTGTTTATATGTTTTTACATAGTTTTAACACAACTATATAATCTTACAATGTTCTGTTTGGGATAAAAAGTAAAAAAAAAATATACTTCTAATAAAGCTTAATTTGAATACATGTCAAAGCAGAACTTTGTTGTGTATATGCTTCACCACAGGCAACTGAGCAGGCTATTGATAGTGAGAGGATAATGTAGATCTATCTGTAAGGTTAAGGCTGTTCTTAAGAATCTTCTAGATTTAGTCAAGCCCTTTGTAATTTTGTTGGCATGTACAATCAGAGGTGGCTACAACACAAACTTCTAAGCAGCTGGACAATTAATTCATCTTTATTTGAGCTGGATTTTATGTGTCTAAAAAGGAAAAGGAAGAATGCATGTAAAGAAGTTCTATGCAGTGCAATTGTTTTCAGTTGAGGGACCACGATTCAGACATTTCTCAAGTTCTATCTGTACTGTAAGAAACACTTGCTTTCATGCTCAAGTTTTTAATGCAGCAAGTAAATCTCATTCAAATGGGCAGGCATCCTAACACACTTAAAAATACTGGTATGAGTGACAAATATTTCTGTAAGAAAACAGGCCCTGCTTTCAGAGTGCTTTTAATTTAAGCAGTAAGTGTCTAAAATCCTGGAGAAAAACAGGACTTCCATTCCCGTGAAAGCATGTTTCATTTTGAAACACACGAAAATGTAAGAATTAAAGAGAAAATGGTAACTAGTTTAAATATGAATTGTATTAATGAGAAGAGGGCAAGAATCTTGCCTTCTAAGTGGTTATGACTCATACCTTCCAATTATAGCACGCATACATCATATTTCAGTAAAAAAAGAATATCAAGCATCCTCTGGATGGAAGACATTCAGATACTTGGTGAACCAGAAGCTGATTAACAGTCATCAGATCTCATCTTGTGAAAAAGAAACCAAACCCAAAACAGTGAACCTGAGTCTTTTCTCATTTACCCTGCTGTAAAACACATTCTGCTGCTGTCAATGAAGTTATTTTATTGTTGAAACCAGTGTGAGGGAAGAATCAATCAAGAAATGTCTATCAATTCCAGCATCTGACTTCATCCAGCTTTCAAAACCCCGCAATGATTATAAATGAAAACATACATGCACCTTCATATTCCTTAAAATAAAGCTAAAAGTCCATTCCCAAAGACATACCCCCCCCCCCAATTCACAAATCACAAAGCTCTGAAGTGCAGTCACTTAAGTGCCACAGCACAGTTGCTGAAGTGCCAATGCTAGTTTGCATTTGCTCAACAGCAGTGGGGCAGAATGATGTATCTTGCAACGGAGCAGGCCCTTCTCCTCCCCCTCTAGCCTCCTCGCACACTGCTCTGTGTTGGCGAGGCTGCTGGAAGCATAACTATGGTTTGTGGCAAGGGCTGCCAGAGAAGCCCTGTGGGTCTCCTGGATCACACGAAAGCTTCTGGGAGCTGCAGAGAAGGCTGGAGAGTGCAGATGGTGCCTCTCCAGCAAGTAAAGGATACTTCAGATTAAGTGTTTCAGTGGGCTTCCCAAGAATTCAGAGGAAAAGGGAGAGCAGCTATCAGGCAACCTCCGAAATGTCAGTGGGGGAAATAGATGGCCAAAAAAGCATAAAGTATGAAGCTGTTTTTCCTGGGGTCTTCCTTAGATGAGACAAGAGCAAGAGAGCAAAGGTGGGACCTAGATTGCTGAGGAAGCAATGGATGAAGGGGAGAAGTTTCAGCATGAGTATCTCTGCCATGAGAGGTGGTTGGTTGGTTGGTTGGTTTTAGATAGTGGGAATCATATTAGCTAGAATTTTATTCTGCCTCAGTCTTATTTTGCACTACTCTGTTTCCTGCAGAACGTATAACTGCATCCATCTCTTTGCTTATATGGATGAGATTTTGCTTTCTTTTGTTCATGTAATCTATAACCTCTGTTCCTTTAGACTTTATTACCACATTATTTGTAAGAAACCGCATCACTGAAGCACAGGACAAAGGAATTTGCAATGAGAGTAGGACTTTGAATGCAAAGGGTGGCTGGGAACAGGGCTGACTGAAGACAGCTGACACCAACTCCAGCTGAGCCCTGTTTACATACAGCACTGACTCCCAAACCGTTTGGCCCCTGGGATCAGTCCCCAGAGTCCCTTGTTTATCCAGATCTAGCTGATAAATATCATGATTGGAGTTACTCCTGAACGTGCCAATCTGTAGATCACTTACAATCAATGATTTTAAAAGTTGATTTTTCCTAAACCAGTTATACTTCTCATTCCCAAGACAGATACCACACACAGTGCAGCTGCACTGCTGCTCTACAGGCTCCCAGTCTGGGAGTTTGTACTGTAGAAGAACTGTTTGCAGTGATTTTGATCTGACAGACACTGAAGATGGTCTTGCTATTGGAAATGACATCGCAAACTGCTCTTCTCTGGGCTCAGAGGAGGAGACAGACATACACATGAAGGAAATACTCACCGGTATCCGAAGAAGTTGTCTTCACAGAAAGAAGTTTGACTCCTTCTTTATCTGACTGGGCTCTGTTGAAGTCAGAAAACAAGCAAGCACAGAGTTTGCATGTTGGTCAGGCAAAAAAATCTGAGGATTATAATCTGGAGGAGGCAGCACCTGTGCCAGTCTGTACTGGCAAGCTTGAAATGGGCTTTGCATGGGGCCATGTGTAAATTGGGGTGGTGGAAAACACCATACACTGAAATCTCTGAAAATACCTTCCTCTTAAAATAGGTAATAAATCAAGTTGCATGACTCTGGGTTCACTCTAGCACTCCACAGAAATGCACTTGGGGAAAAGAGGGAGTCATCTTTTTTCTCTGTCAATACAAGGCTTTTGGTGATGTTGAGTAGCAAGAAGGGTCATTTTAGATGTCCAGGGAATCAGGGCTAGCAAGTAAATCAGCAGCCCAAATGTTGCTTTTGGACATACAAAACATGGAGGCCACAGCCAGACTCAATGGCTTCTAGTATATATCTTGCAATGATTCTTTCTCTGTTTCACTCTCCTCAAACTCCTTAGCCAATACGGTTTTAACTAAGCCTCTGCAAATGGACTAGTGGATAGAATATGGAACAGAGTAATACGTAATAATAGGGGACAAGAGAAAAAGAAAGAGAAAAGCCAGAATAAGAAATATTAAAAAGAGAGAAAACATGAACAAAAGAAGGGGGATTAGAAAGGATGGAAAAAAAGATAAAAATCAAGAAATTCACAAAGAAGAGAAAAAAGACTGGGCCAATGGGCCCTGTGGCATAGCATAAACCATTTCTCCATTTCGAAAGATCCCTTGGAAAACAATTAAGAGCCATCACATTTCTATACATGCTGGAACAGATGCTTATCATGCATACTAGTGTACAATAACTGCAAGTGCATCACTTTCAATAGGATATTTCTCCTTGGGGTAGCAACTACTTATTACATTTAAACAGAGAAAGATCAAAGCAAATCTCATGCAGAATCTGCTGCAATCACAAGTGCCCCATGAGAGATCTCAAAGCAAAGAAAAGACAGGATTCAACTTACTGTTCAGTGCTGTTCTCTTGTCTCTCTGGAAGAAGGAAAAAGTTAATATAATTTTGACTGCTGGGACTCACTTAAGTAAACAGCTATTGCAGTTGCTAGCAGAAGGCTTAGTTGTGATTTTGCATTACTGCATTAAGCACATTAACACAATTGACCAGCTTGAATTTTAATTACTTTTCTAGCTCATCTTCCCAAAAGATAACCATGTCATCTATGAAAGTGAGCTGATATTGCCCAAACAGATACTTCTGGAAACTAAGGAAAATGATATGTGACTTGTGCAAGAGCACAGCAGGAGCACGTTTTTCCCTGCAGCTCCCGAATCCCCAGGTAGCTGGCACAGAGGAGGCGAGCATGGAATGGCTCTCCAGTATGTAACAAGTGAGCTAAGAGAGACAGGAGAGGAAAGTGAAGGAACAAGCTGCCAGGCTGTACTCTCTGGGGGGTTTAACCTGGCATGACATCTGAGAACAGAGCCTGTCTGCCCCATCAATGAGGAAGAGGTTTCTCCCCAAAATGAATCATATACTGAATGTATTTTATTCTTATGTGAAAGTGTGTGCAGATGGATGGGGGCCAGGGGGTTATATTGGATACACAGAGCCTATTCTAGCCCCATGATACCAGGCACAGGACTCTCCATCTGTGGAGGAAGCACATTGGATAGGCCTGGGCAAATCCTACGGGAAGCACCACAGATATCTATCTAATCTAGCTTCCAAATGAATTTGCCGGTACCATGCCTGCTGGCATTTGTGCACGGGGGAGGCTGGCAAGGACATGTTCCTCACCTCATACCTTTACCTCTTGACTCCAAATATTCAGTAATTTCCAAAGCAGGGATCGCACCTTCCTCTGTTTATCTGGGACTGGTTTTCCATGTCATTGGCTAAATTGGCTGCGACACACTGTTAGCCTTGGTCTACAGCTTCAACACCCTGCTGTGATTTTATATTTCCAAGTCCCAGTGATTTCACAGTTGAAAATCTGCACAGGTCTCCTAACTCATGCCAATTCACAGGGAGAAATAAAACACAGTCTGGATTCAGAGCTGGGTGTTCATTTAATGGAGAATTACACTTGCCTGTGGCCTGCTCATGAAACTTTTGGAAACATTTGGCAAATGGAATTATACCCCGTTATCTGAAGTATTTTGTGAACAGCAGGAAAACATACAGCTCTGTCAAAATGTTTCTGGAAACATTTTTGCCTCAGGGATTTTGTTCCCATGTACATTATTCTGTAACTGGAAAACTTACATGTAGCACATATATATGAGTATGTGTGTATATAGCAGGTATTTCCTAAAAGAAAGCACTGATATTCCTTTGCCTGTATCTAGAACAGAGATAAAATAAATATAGTGATTTTGTTAAACAATATCTCCAAACTTAGTTTTCACTGTCTTTTTCTACCTGATTGACTGTGTTAGCACAGATGTTTGTTAGCTCTCTGTAGCTGCAAAAGCATGAACAAAAAGCTTTACAGCGTTATATATTCTCCAAAATTCAGAGACCTGTTTGCTCCCTCTGTTCTTCTTACTGATTTTGAAAA